ATGTATATGTACAATCATATGAACATACAGTAACATATATTATATACCTATATATATATATATATATTATATATATATATATTCTATATATATATTATATATATATATATTCTATATATATATATATATGTGTGTGTGTGTGTATGTATGTATGTATGTATATATATATGTATGAAAGTCTAATAAATATATATATTTATATATATGTGTGTGTGTGTCTGCATATATATATATATATATATGTACATATACTTGTATAAATACATGTATACATATCTGTGAATATGTTTGTTACATACTATACAATATACTAGGGTGATGAATGTCCTCATCTTTCATTTCATACATCAGTCGATATTTATATTTTTGTTTGGTTTTTCCTGTACAGAGTTGGATATTAATTGCTTCTGAACAGCTCTACCATACTTACAAAACATATTAGATCAATTAAGACTGTGTACAGCTTTTCCCTACTTAAAGACTATTTTAGATCGCTTTTTTTTGACAATTTGTGGTCGGCCTTCTTTAGTGAGCACCCTTGATATTCATCGCAGGCTGGAACTATCATGTTTGAGTTTATATGGTACTGAATTTTCTTTATGATTCTTCTGCGGTGCATTATTAATAAAGTTGTGTTCGTCAAAATTGAATACAGTATCGGGCCGTATATTTTACGGTATATAATAGCTTCCCGTTTATCAGGTTGTACAAAGTAGTATGTCAGACTCGCTTGATGATTGAAAATTTACATTGTCCACTATAGCTTCGAAATAGTATCGATTGTGATGATGCTACCCGAATTCGTCCTAGCCTACTTGATTACGAGATACCGCTGTCAATAACAAAATCAGGCCACTCCAAGTATCTGCATTAATCGACGAATCGAACGGGTTGTTAAAATGAATCTCGGATGCCATCTCTCTAACTCCCACCAACTGCATTACTAAGTTTACTACGCTGCTTACTCGTCGAACCTTTATGTCATATCTTTTCGACGAATGGGGTGAATAGTAGAGGGATATAAACAGCTAAGGTCAATGCAAGTGGCATTGCGCTGTTTTCCCTTCCATATGTTCTCGGCCAATGAATACAAAATTGTGCGTTATTGTTTGCCTTCATGAGACATGAGGTCACTATTCGATATAAAACGCTGTTCATTTTTAAAGTCACTATTATTATAAATAAATACATAAATATATGTAGAATGGGTTAGTTTTTCTTTCTTTCTTAAATAATAATAATATAATAACGAGTTGATTATATGACGGTCATTTATTTATTAATTATTTGTTGTTTTTTTAAAAACAATCATAATTTTGTACTTGAGATATGTAAATATGTAGCTTTAAAAATATATATATGAATGGCAAATGCATGATGCAGCTATTAAAGAAAATTAGTATTTATGCTGTATTTAAATATTTATGCTACCGTGAGCCTGTCAGTGATGAGGCGTGACCGCCTGAGCCGTCTGCATGTTTTTTTAGTGTTTGACTGTATGGAGTGTTTGACAGCTTGACACTGACAGCCACAGGCACCAGCTGATGCCTGAATCCTGAATTCCTGATGTCTGCTCTTCTCTTGTGGGAGCCGTGAGGGGCAGGGGCCGCAGCCCCGCAGGGCTGACGTCTCACGGTCTCAGTGGTCTCACGCTTGACGCCTGACAGGCTGACGGTCTGAAAGTGAAAATCAAAACAAACAAACAACAACAAGAGTCAACAACACAACAAGAGTTTTTTTTTTAAATATATATTTATTTATTTCATAATTCAGTAAATACTTTATGAGTGAGTTCTGAGTAGTCAGTAGTATGTCAATACTCATCAGTAGTGAGTAGTCAGTAGTGAGTACTGAGTAGTCACAGTGTCAGACTCACAGTCAGAATCTCTGAGACTTTGAGTCCTGAGAGACTGAGCTGAGACTGAGACTGAGAGCCTGAGACTCACAAGTTCACGATTTTTTTTTGCCTCTGAAGATTTTCTTGATATTAATCTTTGTATAATTTCTTTTCATTGGTTGTAGTATTTTGTTGCCTTCCACTCAAATTCACGTTTGGGCTAACATTGAAATTTATTGCCGCGGAACTTTTCAACTTCCTCCGATGCGTTCAGCTGTATACCAATAAAATTGCACCATCCCTCTCATATAATACTTCTGGCATTTGTCAACCCCATCCAAATTTCCTCTTAAAAAACTGTGAACCACAACAGATTACATACATGCTGCCAAATGTCAGGTTCATGAACGTTGGATATCTGTGAAACTGAACAGCCAGCGTGGTTAATTATCAATTCAAATACCTATCTTAGGGCTTGATTGATTGAATTTTCGACGTCCGTAGTCACTATAGTAGACGAGCTCATCTCATAATTTAATTCACTTGACTACTGTCGATGTTCCAGTTGTATTACTGATACTTTAAGACACCCTACTCCGACAGCCTAGAATATCACATTGCAGTCAGTCAATATGAATTTCCGAAGAGGCGTTGCTCTGTTGGTCCTCGCTTCTGCCTTCGATAGTTCTTTTGCACAGGATGAGGGCGAAGACGGCGGAGGTGTAACGAATGACAATTTTGTACAAGAACAACCAATCAATGTGATAGATGCCGGTGCTTTCGATGCCACTACAGATGAGGACTTGGCGCCTCTTGTTGACGAGCGACAGGTGGACACAACAGATGACGATGAAGATACAACGATGGTGGCTGAAGAATCGAAATTTCTGAGGCCACCGTTTAAGTCTGTATCTCTTGACAATGATGAGTTTGAGAGTTACGTTATCCGTCGGAATGGAACGGCACAATGCGTAGGATTAACAGACACAGACACAACGGACCCAATCCCTATCACAGAGCCATGCGATGGTTCTTTATCTCAGCTCTGGTTACGTATCGCCAACGATGAGAACCAGGGCCAATGGCAAAACAGGATGACATACACTTGCATCACGGTGCCCTACGACGGTCAGGAATCGATTATTATGAAAACATGCTCAGCTACAACCCTCAATAATCAAAAGATTCTCGATGATGCATTGATCGCTCCTCGGCCCAACACTGATTCCAATCTATGTATAACACCTTGTGCAGACGATTCAGGTCTCTTGTGTTCTTTTGAGGCGGGAACAGAGGCATCGTGTAACATTGCACAGGGAACTATAGATGCCTACAACTACAACCTCTATGCGGAGCCGTTCTGTGACTCTCCTGTGTCCGATGGACGCTGGGAGATTGATTTGTATGGCGAATGCAGTGCAACATGTGACTCCGGTACACGTCCAGTTACATACACGTGTTCCTCGCTGCGTGAGTTCAAGTACGCCTGCTGCGGAGATGAGCCAGAAGAGATTGTACCATGTAACTCCGTACCATGTGGCGCGAACGTTGGAAACTACAAGGTCATAAAATCGACTGCCAGTCTGGAAGCCGTGGATGCCAATCCTCTATGTATCGATGCTGTCGATCCTACACATGTAGAGATGCGTCCTTGCTCCGGTTCGGATTCTCAGTTGTTTATACAAATTGATCCCAAACAGGACAAACAGTGGGTTAACAAAGCAACCGGAAATTGTGTTCAGGTTCCAGAGCGATATAACATGGATAAGACAACAGACTTCATCTTCCTCCGGCCTTGTCAAACGGATACCGGTACTTCGGATGATCTGCGCTATCAACAATTCTATGTCGATGAGCTCGTCGAGTCACGTGTGCGAACATGTCTAAGTCCGTGCAACGAGTTGAATAACTTGGTTGTTGAAGATTTGAGCGCGCAGCTTGTTTCCGGCTTTGAGGAGGAAGAGTTTTTCAACCCCGCCCCAATTAATAAGGAGAGTGTCTGTGCGGTAAGAGACGACGACGAAGGTGCGACATCATGGTGTCAAGCAGGTTCATTCAGCTACCTTGGATTAGAAATATATAACAACCGTATGGAAGACCAGCTTTGGTGTGAACAGGAGAATTCGTACGGCGAGTGGCTGTTCTTCGGTGAAGGCTCATGTAGCAAAACATGTGGAGGAGGCGCTCTCCCATTAGACTATCGATGTATACCCAAGGATATCAATGTTGAGACTGCTTGCTGTGGCGATAAGGAGGGCGCAGGGTCATATCTATGTAATGCTCAACCCTGTAATGGAACACAAGAAGATATCTGGGTTCTATTGGACTCTGTAGACCGCACTCAGTGTGCAACAACGACAGATGAGAATACTCTTGTATTCGAGGAATGTACATCGGGCAACGCAGGTCAGCAATTCATATATTTTGAAGGACGCGAAGGTGAGGGAGACTCACAACAGTGGTATAATCCAGAAAGCGGGTTTTGCGTGACTGTACAGTACCCGGAAGTCGATGACGAAGTTTTGCAACCATCTATAGTCATGGCAAACTGTAGTTTGGACCCAATGGATACACAGTTCTTCTCGGAACCTACAACACTAGTCAACACTGGTGTGGGCGCCTGTCTTGCACCATGTGACGATAACAGCACGAGGGTATGTTAAAAAAAATGAGGGTTTTTTTACGTATATTCAAACGTATAAGACCGATATTTTTACCTCTTATTTATATGTACACACGTTCGTCTGCTTTTATCGTTATTGGCAGTCTGCACATATACAACTTTTTGCCCAAGATACTAACATAGTTCTTTTATTTGCAGGTGTGTGCTTTTGATGAAGATAGTGGCCCTTGGTGTGAAACTTCTAGTCCTGTGATAAATCAGTTGATGGCAGCGGCGAAGTACTGTAGTCTCGATAATGTCGATTGTACAGCACCTACAACCACCGAAGTCACCGTCACTAGCTTCACCACCGTTACTGGCGAACTGCCTACGCAAACTAGTTTGGAAACAACACAGGAAACTATCACTGAGATTCCCGTTGTAACCATAACATCTGTTGTGACCCAAACTGGAACGGAACTGCCGCCTACAGATGTTACCGTCACGGAAACAACTACAGTTGATGGTTCACTTTCGACCGTTTTACCAACGGAGTCGGAGTCTATTACCGATGGTGTAACCGTCACTGAAACTACAACAACAGTCGACACGGCCAGCACGGACACCTCAATCACTGATATCAAAACGGAGACATTCACCAGCGCTACCACAGAAACTGCTCCAGGCACAAGCTTCACCTCGACAACTGTGGATATTCAGACAGTCACTGAAACGGCAGAGACAACAGTTCCCGTGACTGTAACTGAAACGTCGGCCGCAACCGATACAGTACTGATCACGAGTACTGAGATTCTACCTTCTCCTGCCCCAATAACCACATCAGTGGTCACCGAAACAATCACATCAACAGGCGCTGAATCCACCGTGACAGAGCTGATCACGACGACGGAAGGGGTTACTACCACCACGGAGATCACATCAACAACATTAGATCCATCAACGTCGACGGTTACTAGTGTTAGTTTCAGTACAGTTACCAGACCGTTGACAGGCACATTTACAACGACTGAAGTGACATCCACCACACTTGATCCTAGTACTATTACTACGACAAGTATCAGTTTAACAACCGAGACTCGCCCTCCTGAAGCCTCAACGACCACGACCACATTTGTGGTTTCAAGCACTTTGGATCCGTCCACATCTACCGAGACTTCTTTTGAGACAGAGACATCAACGCTGCCCGCGAGCTCACAACAACAAAGTTCTACGGTGACGGAAGTTGTAACTAGTACAGCAGATGCGTCCACCAGCACTGTGACGGAAATTGACATTACAACAGCATCAACGTCAACTGTGACAGACGTTATAACTAGCACAGCCGACGCTTCTACCAGCACAGTTACGGAGATTGATACTGTCACAAGCGATGGTCCGCAATTCCCCACATTTTCGAGTGTGGATCCATCTTCCGATGCAAGCAGCAGTGCAAGTGGATTTCCAACGGATCCCTTTGTTCCAACGACGTCATCAGACACGGAAACACCGGCAGAGACAAGTGAGACACAACCAGACGACGCTGTCGATGGCAACTGGAGTGAATGGAGTGATTGCAGTGTCACGTGCTCATTTGGAATCCAAACTCGCACATGCACCCAGCCAGAGCCTCAGAACGGCGGCGAGACGTGTCCCGGACCTGCTATCAGGACGTGTAGTCCAGCGCCTTGTTCTCGCGGTAAGTTCGGTGTTATGCTAGAGTAACTATTCTGCTTCATTGATTCGTTTCGTGTATCGTATAAAGTCCATCATATTTCATACAACTATGAACTACAACGGAATATCTTTATTCATTTTTTTGTTTTATTTCTTTTGCAGCTGATTTCGATAGGCGTTCAGTCGAGGAAATATCGCTTGCTGAAGATGAACAAAGGAGAATAGCGGACCAGATTGTAAGTTTATCACTGGCCGACTCGACAAGCTTCAGGCGTCAAGACAACGACAAGGTGTTATAGTATTTCTCTTTAGACGATAGTAATCATAGTGTGAGCCGACAGTAGTACTGCACCGTGTCATAGCTGCGCTCAAAAATTAGTAGGACTTGTACATTTCCTTTATAGAGAAACGAGATCAAAGTCAATGGTAGATATCACTCGTTCAATGTAGCAATACTCCTCCAGATAGATATGGGACTTGTGAAATAATATCACATATCAAGGTAGAGAGAACAAATTGAGCCGACGATGTACATAAAGAAAAGGAAATAAAGTCAGCAAAACTGTTTTCATATTTCTCGGCGATGAATAACGTACAGCATACCTTTACCCTTTATGTTTTCGTGTTGACATGTATTTGCGGGGGGAACATCAAGAAGGTATCTTCTCTATCGAGCTTCAATACTTGCACACCTTCACAATCACATAATAGATTTCACATTTACGTGTCGGCTATGGCCATCCACATGATAGCTTGTAAATATGCGAACACGCGAGGAACGTCATACCTACTTGTGCCACTAAATTCAGGTCGCCATACAAATATTTGATGTATCCTCACAGAAGAATTAAGGTGTAAATATTTGTGTGGATGATCTCATTAAAATTGCAAAATAGATAGTAAATAATCGCAATTGCACTCAAATAATCCTTCCTGTTGATCACATATATGAGGGGATCACAATATGACCCGATTGGTATCCTCACCTAATTAAAAGGTGGACTTCTAAGTGTAGGCACTGGCAAATACAAAGTATCAAGTTCTATATTATAAGCAACCTCGTTGGTAGCGAGGTTGCGCACGTCAATCCATTCATTGGCCTTGGACTCTCTCCACTCACCGTTGATGAAGGATCGTCGGTTTATTTCTCCAAAAGGAGGGCAAAGTGCATATCGATTAAAACTTTTTATTTTAAATAACACGGCATCGGTACGCAAGAGAGATGCCTCTTGTTAGCTAAAAGAAATATGACCCTCGTAAGTGGATTCTGTACTACATAGACTCCACAAACAAGGGTGACCATGTGTAGAAGAATCAATTGGTCCCGCAATCGATGCCAACACTATATGTAAAGCACTAAACTTTATTTGCGCATGGAGCTAAGGGAGAAGTTCCGTTTGAGTGTCTACTTTAGAAGGCTGTGGTTTGGAACCTTGACAGTTGTCGCGTTTTTTTGTCATTGGCTCGGCAGACTTCACAAAAGCGGCAATGATAGCTAGCATTTGTACCTCGTGAACCCCAGTCTTTGTCTATTTGGTTGTAGCTTGATAAATCTACCTCGCAACTCTTGAAAGTAGTTGCATCGTAGACTGACTGAGACTAACCGCTGGGGGAATATTTAACTATTCTTAACTATATAGTAGCTACAATTTGGGCTTACGTGCTAAGTAAATGCTCGTGGGTTTGCAGTGAGCTGAAGGAATATCATACCTTTCACGCCATAGTTGTATAGTATATTATTAAGGTACCCAATCCTCTCTTTTCCATCTCGAATTGTTGAACGGGTTGAAAATAAAATGATTACAGTAGCGTGCATAGTGTAAAAGAATCAATTGGTCTCCCAATCGATGCCAATACTATATATAAAGCACTAAACTCTAGCTGCGCATGGAGCTTAGGGAGTAGTTCCGTTTGGTTGTCTACTTTAAAAGGGTATGGTTTGGGACTGTGACAATTGTCGCGATTTGTTCCTTATTAAGTTTTTATTGTCATTGGCTCGGCAGACTTCACAAAAGCGGCAATGATAGCTGACTTTTGTACCTCGTGAATCCCAGTCTTTGTCTATTTGACTGTAGCTTGATAAATCTACCTCGCAACTCTTGAAATATAGTTGCATCGTAGACTGACTGAGACTAACCACTGGGGAAAACGTCATAGCTGTATATTTAGTATATTATTATAGTACCCAATCCTCTCTTTTCCATCTCGAATTGTTGAACGGGGCGAAAATAAAATGATTACAGTAGCATGTATTCGATGTGAAGCGGCGTAGATCGAAGCCTACTTGCTTCTCAGGTTTGAATTATTTTACATCGACTTGTGTGTCCATTAAGCAACGATGTGAAATAGCTGTGCTATTATGTGGTTATACAAAATGTTGTAGCTCATTGCTAGGCGAAGTGAGGCGTACCGTGACGATACTGCATGATTTGTTACGGATCTCTATCGGATCAGCAGCATTTGAAGTTTCCCTGACACGCTACGCTGGCTACGGCTGTACAAGTTGCTCGTCTCAAGTCCTCAACAAATTTGAGTTTAGTTTAGAACCGCAAGAAAATAATATATTCATATCCATTGGTCCGTGTATAATATGCTACTAAGCGTTGAGTTTTATAGAACCACGGTAGGGAAAGCAAGAAAATAGATTCTCTAGGCTATACCCAATCGTTTTTGGTTTTCATTGATGTAGTTAGATAGTGTCAGGCTGTCAGCTACGAACGATGTGTCAAAATAGTATATACTTGCTACTGAATACTCCTGTCTATCTATAGTTCTAGTTTTGAATATATATTTTCTAAAAATATGTATTATCATCATTGTCTCATATGCTTCTGTTCTATTTACTTTTACTCTAGTAGAAAATTATGGTATTCTCTTCTGATATTCACAAAGTGATATTTAGTTCGGCACTTTTTGCTGTCTGATAGACGATAGTCTGATATCATATGGGGAGATGGATAAAAATATACGTAAATATTTGTAAAATTTACATATTTTATCCCACATTACACTACTGACTACTTGTGTTTTAAAGAAAAATAAAACATGCATCTAATATGTTTATTTAGAAGGCTATGCTAAAAACGATATGCTTACTCTTTTATCTTTTACGTATATCAAACAGACAGCATTTCCAACAGTTCATCTGTAGGGAAAACGCAGCAGCCTGCAGCTGAAAACGTATAAATATTTGTTATCGATTGCCCGCTACTCTTCAGTCTTTGTTATCAATTGATCTACTGGGAGTAAAAAAAGGTCAAGTGTAAATATTATAAAACATGCTCTTATAAATATTTAGCTGAAAAATCAAAAATATGCCTTTGCCTTTTAGCTTTTCTGAAAAATAGTATTGATTGGTTGAAAGAGCTAACCAATCAAAACACAAAAGTAACTTTACGCTTAAATACAATAAGTAGAACTATCTGGTATCATTGGTTAATAAAGTGACAACCAATAGAAAACGAATATTAAACGATTTTTTTTAAAACCTCGTGTCCCTTGTTCCAATGATATATTGAAGCATACATATTATAAAACAAATCCATGTCCCCGTTGAAATAAATATCTTAGATACAACTATATCTATTTACTGTAGCATTTACCCGAAGCATACTTGTTTCCTTTGTTTACTTACTGCCCTACTTTAGTTCACCAAATCGACGACAAAAATTACACATATACTTTCCACATCTCACAGAACCGTTCATATCCTCGACATTCGAATAGAAAGTATCTCTAAGCAATCGAAACAGATATTTTCGGAAATTCGATACCAGCCCAGTCGAATTCATCTTGCTAGGCAATACAACCAACTAGCACGAACGTATTGGGTTCCATTCTAGTTGCATAAAATGCGTGGCTTCGCTTTTACAGTCTCGCTTATTCTTGCAGCAAGCATCTCATTTGTTGCTGCTCAGGACAACGAACAGCAGATAATTCCCGCTTTCCAATCAGTATCGCTCGATAATGATCCATATGAAAATTATGTTATGCGTCAGAACCGTACAGCTAACTGTATTGGTGTAGGAGATATTGATACATCAGATCCTTATCCTATTATCGAACCATGTACTGCCGATCTTAGTCAAGTTTGGTTACGTATTGCAGATTTCGAGAATCAGGGGCAGTGGCAAAATAGAGTGACACAAACATGCATCACGGTACCATACAATGGCGATCAAGTTATTCTCAAAACTTGTTCGGCCACAACCCTCAACAATCAAAAGATTCTCGATGATGCTCTCATTGCGCCCCGACCGAATACGGCCACCAATGTTTGCTTAGGTCCTTGCGCAGACGCATCCGGGCGACTGTGTACATTTGAGGCAGGAACCGTAGACTGGTGTGCAGTACCCGACACCAATGAGCCCGCTTTCAATTACGAACTGTACGCCGAGGAGTTCTGTCAATCACCAATCTCAGAGGGGCGATGGGAGATTGATTTCTACGGAGAGTGCTCTACTACTTGCGATACTGGTCTGCGCCCGGTGACGTACGTGTGCTCGTCGCTTCGGGATCTCGAGTATTCTTGCTGCGGCGACCTGCCTGAGAATGAGGTCCCTTGCAACTCTGTACCATGTGGTGCGAGTGTGAGCAACTATAAGGTAATCAAATCTACCGCCAGTCTGGATTCACCAGATGCTACCCCGTTGTGTATCGATGCAATCGATCCCACGCACGTAGAGATGCGACCATGTGCAGGTTCAGACTCCCAGCTCTTCATTCAGATCAATCCCAAAGACGACAAACAGTGGGTCAACAAAGCCACTGGCAATTGTATCCAAGTTCCCGAGCGATACAACATGGACAAGCAAACAGACTTCATTTTCCTACGCCCTTGTCAGGATGATTACTCTGACTCTGATAATTTCCGTTATCAGCAGTTCGCCGTCGACGAGCTTGTCGAGACTAGAGTGCGCACATGCCTTACACCTTGCGACTCGCTAGCTGATGGAACGCTATTCGAACCCTCACTAGATGATCTGCTGATTGCAGGACGTCAAGAAGAAGAAGCGTTCTTCAACCCCGCAGCCGACAATAAAGACGCCGTATGTGCTGTTCGTGATAATGACAACAATGTTACTCCGTGGTGCCAGGCTGGATCATTCTCATACCTCGGTCTAGACCTGTACAACAGACGTATGGAAGATCAACTCTGGTGCCAACAAGAGGAGTCCGCTGGCAGCTGGCAGTACTTTGGTGAAGATCAGTGCAGCGCGCAATGCGATGGTGGAATTCAACGTTTCGACTATCGCTGTATTCCTGAAGACCCTAACGTCGAGACCGCATGCTGTGGCACGAAACCGGGAGAAAGTTCGCGTCTTTGTAATGCACAGCCTTGTGATGCCACACTGGATGATACTTGGGTACTAGAGGACCTGAGGGATCGTGGACGGTGCGCAACAACCCAAGACGACAACACGCTGACATTCTCTGATTGCTTGAGCGGTGCAGAAACGCAACGATTCTTGTGGCTCGAACAACCTAGAAGCGGCAGTTCTGAAACACAGCAGTGGTTCCAGCCTTCCACGCAGCTTTGCGTAACTGTTTTGTGGGATCGTGAGGGCGGTCTCGACCAGGAAGCTGAGGTACGAATGAGCAACTGTAGCATAACTCCTGATGATATGCAGTTCTTCCACAAGCCCTCGTATTTAATCAACACTGCTATCGCCGCTTGCTTGGCCCCATGTACCGAGGACGAGGACAAGGTAAGTAGATTTTGCGAATTGTCTTTTGAGCTGTGTATTCAAAATCACGAAGAATTGAACAGGGTCATTTTTTCGATTATCATGCATTATATTGATCCTTTGTTAACAATGTCGTATTTTGTCCCAATCTGTTAATAGGTTTGCGCATTTGGTCAAGAGGGAAGTGACTGGTGCACTGCTGATGTAAGCACGCCTAAGAACACTTATATGAAAGGATTCAAGTATTGTCTGCAAGACGGAATCGACTGCCCCGTTGACTCTGGCCTGGTGACTGTAACTCAATTTACAACCGTTGAGGGTCCCGAGCCTACCTTCGCAAGCACAACAACTTCCACGATTCTTGTGACTTCGACCGAAGGTGGCAGCAGCGCAGCGGTGAGTACCAGCACTTCTGTACAGCTCACTACAGTAACTCAAGACGTGACTGTCTCGGAGGTGACGACCTCTACCCAGGAAGTGACTATTACCACCGAAGATGTTACAACCACCACCGAGGCACTCGTTCCCGTAACATCCACTTCCGAGGTGGTATTTCCGGTATTCAGCACCTCAGACGTTGTGACCACCTCTCTAGGGGCCACTACATTCAACCCCTTCGGCGATGCTACCACAGGTGTCACTACAGGTGACACCATAGCAGGTGATGACACAGATGCTACAACTGGAGATGGAGTGGATGGTAACTGGTCTGAGTGGGCTGAGTGCACTGTCACGTGCTCATTTGGAATTCAGACACGCGAGTGTAACAATCCAGCTGCGTCCGGCGGTGGTGCGGAATGCCCCGGAGCTGCGATTAGAACATGTAACCCAGGGCCTTGTGCACGTGGTAAGTTTGATACACTTTATGAGCCTTTCATTTTATATAGCGTGCATTTCTTGATAGAGTATTTGTACATGCGTCACTGGCATACTTGCTCTACGAATTTTCCATTGCCTACACTTGACTAACCATAAGCTATATTCTACTACACACTTACAGCTCTTGATATGCGCTCTGTTGATGAAGGTGAAGTACGATTCGCCGAGTCCGAAGAGTACAAAGTGAAGTTTAACAGTGGCGAGGGTAACGTGGGTAACATGAACACCAAAGCATCCCAGAGGCGGTCAGCAAAGCTAGGTACAGGCCAGGATACGGGCCGAAGCTAAGGTATTCAACAATATCTTAATGTAAATAGTAAAGTACGGAGAGAATAGGGCTTACCCGCCGAAGAGTGGGTAAATGATATCGGAGTAACTGTAGGTAAGACTTCAACTGGGTTGAGGCGAAAGCTGAGAACCGATATGGATCTGAGCACTTCACTCAAGCTGCGAGATCAGTTAGACAGTCAGGCCGATCCCGAACCGTACTCAATGTGCGGGACAAGGGTTATGGTTTAGGCCTTATAATGTGGTGGATGTACGGTGACAGGACGAGTATGTAGATGTAAAGATGTCAAATCTTTGCACTGCTTGTGAATGTGGAGTTCAGGGTGGATCGAGTGAGCGATAACTCGATGCAGACCCTCTGCACTGTCTACCTAGAGGTCAAATCTATGCACGCTCGTACCATACGGCGCACAATCGACGTCAGCTGCGGGCGATCGGAGTTACTGTTTGGGATGGATTTGGAAAGGTGAACATGCACACAAGCAAGGCCTGCCCTGGAGACTGTAATAGGTAATTAGGGAAGGAAAGAGGAAAGATGGAAAACCATCAGCATGCGATACAATCGAACATGCAAATTTAGCTAAGATAGCGTGTTTGTTGATAATAGCACTAGGGTGGAATGATCTTTGTAAGTAGCCATACTTGAAAGGTTTGGGACTAGAGGAGAATGAGTGTCGGTAAGATGTTTGCATTTGGAGATCTTCATGCGAGAAGATCCCCCGCGTGCGAACGGATTGCAACCTCAGAACTCTTCAAAACTGAAAGCTTTCTGCAGTATATTACATTCGCTATCCACACTGTAATAGAAGAACTCGCTATCCACGTAGAAATAAAAGAATCGAAAATAGTCAACACTTTGTTTCCTTTGTCATATTGGCAAACTTGTAACTCCTTGGCGTTGTATGATATGGTGTTCTTCACGTTGATTGCCGCTCGATATCCAATCCACACTTTTTATATTATTTCGAACCATTGCACATAGCAGCTCGATAGATTCTTGCATAGATTGCATACAGTGGTTTCCCTACTCAAACCAGTCTACTTACACGAGATCCTGGTTAACGCATGCGGCACAAATCTCGAACATCTCGCTGATCCTAACAATAGCATACGACAGATATTTCGTTCCAACGCAATAAATACAGTACATATATGATACAATGCATCTCTCGATGATTCACATTAATCTAGTTATGTTAACGATTGAATACATTACGCATCTAGTTGATCTTGACGGTTGTATATAGCAAGTACAGCTGTCGCAATAGTTGTAGCCCTAGACAATGCATACAAACACGAACTAACACACACACATACACGCGCGCGCACAGAGACAGATACGCACACACACACACACACACACAAACGTGTACATACAATAACACACATTTACACCCGCCCACCCATATATACATACATTTATATATATAATTAAATACGATATATATAATGTATGTATATATATACATATAGATAGTATATATATATATATATATGTATACAGATGTATATATATATATACATGTATATATATATATATCTGTATACACACACACACACATAATATATACCTGTATACATACACACACATACATGCATATATATATATATATAAGTATATTTGTACACATATATATATGAGTATAATATATACATATATATATATACATATACACATATATATATGTGAAAGTATATATATATATATATAAATATATATTATGCAAGTTTAAGTAGATCATGTTCAACCATTGAAACCTCATTTCTCAAAACTAACGGTGTTATATGCCTTACGTGTCTAGTTTTAAAATATTCACCGCAATTTGCCGACAACCATCTTTACACAATACATTTTGTATGCATTACAGATCACACACGATATTCAATTTTTTTCTTCTGCATCCTGTCATTCCTTTATTAATATGAGGTATAGGTTGTAGATATAGAGTTGCAACGTGCTATTCCCAATAAAATACTGATGCTATTGACACGACACGTTGCAAAAACAAATATAGCACAAATCAAGTAGGGATATACCATACCAAAAAACGTTGCCAAGGTAGTCTAATACGCCTCTTAGTCGATAAAATTCCTGATTGCACTAACAAATAAAGAAATTGAGACGTCTTCAATTTCGACCCGTTATCATGCAGGAATTCTGAACATCCCAAGAGACCTACAACTCGGATACCGAGTTCTGGATCCCTCACGGAAGCAGAGAAGCGTGTGAACTGAGTATATTATGTTCAGTATGGCAACTAATAAACGTGCAGATTTCATTTGCTCCGCAACTCCACAAGTGCTTATTGTACTGCGTCTAAAACACTAAACCCGAGGCGGTTATGGTGTGCTGGTTAGAACTCCATAATATCTT